TCCGGTTAAGGGAAAACAAGAGAACGTGACTTTGGTTTGTTTTATTTTTCTATCTGGAACTCATGATAAGGGGCAGGCTGGGGTAGGTCTCTCCATCACCAATGGCAAAATTGGCTTTTTTAAAACTAAAGGGTGCATTCTGTCTATCGGCGTATAATTCCTGTTAAGTAGCCCATAGAAAGGGAAGAGGCACAGGAAAAGAGTGAGCATGAGTATTTATCCCGTTAAGTGATTATAATTCAATTTTCGCGAAATCAGGGGTAATTTTCGCTTTCAGTCCACGCATCTTCTGTCGAAGAAGTGGAGAAGCTGTAGAAAGATTGGAATTTTTGTTCAGGAAAAGTAACTTAAAAAGTAACTTCTGCTTGTAACTAGTTACTTTTGGTGAGAAGTAATTCTACTGGTAACTAATTACTTTTTGGATGACATACTTGTAATTGTAACTAGTTACTTTTCAAAAGTAACGCGCCCAACACTGGTTAACCGAGTGGCAAAACTCTGTTTAAAATGAAAGATTCTTATGTAAAAAAAGTGATTACCCATTTGGATTCCTCTGGAATATAGATATTTTAGTGGTGGTCCTCATACCATACCTTACCACAACTTACCTTGAAGAAACCAAGAGATACCCAGGTAAGCACAAGAAACTCTGGCTTTGGTAAAACCAATTCAACGATGTCTTTTCTCAATTGTGTAACATTCTTTCTCATACTAAAATGCAAATAATGAAAACAAGCAAATGTTCAGTATGAGCCATAGAGACCTTTACTGAAAAGCAGCTATTCTTGGTGCAACAGTAAACATGAATGGCCAATACCATCAGTCATGGCTAACGTTCATCTCAAAAATACCACATCCACATTTTTCCATTCTCCTCCTGCTATAAACTTTCTAGATGAAAGAGAGGGAAAGGAAGAAGAACCAGATCACAGACATGATACACCTAATAGTAAGACGATCAAACAATTCATGTATCCTGATACATATAAAGTATTGAAAGGAGAATAATAACTATTCAACCAGTTTGCACTAACAATTGCTATGGATCTTTGTACTCAGTCCAGTCTTCCAGGATACAAAAATATCAGTATGGCACTCACATGACAAACTTAGCACAAATACACAAAGCCCCCAAAGACTTTCATGGACATGGAATGGCAAATGCATTTTCCCCTTTTTGCAATGTCAGGAATAGGGCAGGCCTACAGAAAAGAATAAAAGGTATCTATGGTAGCTTTCAACCAATCACATCATGTGAGCACTGGTCAGTGCTGGTGCTGATTCTGGCAAAAAGAGGGGCAGGACCTATAAAGTTATATTAACTCTGACATTAGTAAGGATATTCAACCTTTTCAACCAAGGGTAACAAGACTCTTTTTATCTGAAGGAGGCATGGTGCCATCATTTGACACAGGTTTCAGCATCAGCAATGATGCACATGCTGGGTGATTCAATGGATGGATGTATGACACTTTAGCATAAAAATTGTGCACTGCAGTTTAGTGAAACTTAGGGAATAGTATCACATGAAGGAAGGCATTGTATAAGAAGAAAACATGCCTCATAGGTAGGATTTCTTATGTGACATCACATGCATGCACAGCATGTGCAGACAGATTTGAAGCATTCGTTCCTGTCCAGTGATGTGCCCTGGGGGAGGGGGTTGTCATAATACCCCTCTTGGAATACATTTTACAGGTTCAATTCTCAAAAATGTTTAAATTTGGCCATAAATGCAAAGTGGGCTACCAATTTTTCATGTCAACCCCTCCCCCCATTGGGATTTTCTGAGCATGCTACTGTTCCTGTCAAAGCCATTAGAGTAATAGCATTACACAAGAGCTACAACACTTGTTACTCAAAGGTCAGCATCTTTACAGACTATTTGAGATCTGAACATTAGCAGCATTAGCAGTTCATCCATATATGCACTTATGTATACCTGGTATCACATCAGCAGGACTGCCTATGAGGCACACATTTCTTCATATAATATTTTCCCTGATGATAATAGTCTTGGAATTTCACTGAGCTGTAGTGCATAGTTTCAATGCTAGGGTACCATACATGGATCAAGAAATTCTAGGGTCATCCTACATATAAATTTTTTGCCATGAGACGCAAGAAACATGAGCACCTTTTCTCGAGGAGACCTAAGGTCTCCCATTATCTATCCACCATCATATATGTCTTTCCTTGTCTAATTTTTTTTTTCAGGAGCATTACCACTGATAGCATGGAAACTTAAAAATGGTGTCAGCAATAATAATGCCCTAAGAGTAGCAGGTACATATATGATGGTTTTCAATGCAACAATGAATCCCTAAGAAGAAATAGACCTAATAAAAAGATACTCATTCAATCAAACTAATGCCAAGTCCAGATTGTGCAACACATATTCCATGCACAATATGAAACTTAGAATTTACCAAACGAGAAGAGCATAAAATTCTTCAAGAGAAATCCACCCCAAACATCAAAAACTTCTAGGAGAAAAAGGGGAACCACCCAAAAGATGACATCTAAGCAAGATGGAAAAACATGTAAGAACAAAGAACCAGGATTCAGAGAGCCCACATTGATTCAAGCACATCTCCATCACACAGAAATGTAATGGTTAGATTTTCACATTGCAGGCTGAGAGTTCTTGTAGACGACTTTTGAGTGAATCATTCTCTGCCCTCAGCACTTCTAGCTCTGACTTCAGCTTGGAATTCTGCCAAACATATAGAACACAAATGGTTCCTGAAAGGATCCATGGAAGTAGGAGACAAAGAAAAATTGTTATTGGCACAAACCTCCTCCTCAAGGTAGAGAGCCCGAAGGGTGACCTGATTCTCCTTGAGACGACGTGCATCCCGAGACCGTTTGGCTGCTAGGTTATTTTTCTCCCTTCGACTCCAGTACTTATCATCCTTCTGGGTGTCTGGTACAGTCTGTTGAAGGTATTGATTGAGATTTCAATCATTCTCATGAACCAAATTCAATAGAGAAGGAGGATAGGAGGAGAGGGGAGAGAGAAAGAGATGCAAAGAGCAAACAAGTTGTTCTTCTGTTCTGCTAGGGATACTCTAAAGCAAGAGTATAATATCTGTGAAAATTATGGAATGACAATATTGACATTCCATATGAATGAATATGAATATGAATATGAATGACAGATTGAAAGTTTGACTCCGGAAATGCCATCTTTCACTTTTCTACAACTAAAGATTCATTTGATAAAAGCAGCCAAATTCACTTAGCATAAAAAGCAAACAATACAGTGAAACATGTGGATTCAGCCATCTCCTATTTGTGGCCAGAGGTGCCCAGTCCCAACCATTAGCTCCATTTAGCTCCATAGGCTCAATGTTAAAATACACTGTTTTACCCAGCAATCTGTCTAATGTGGCTAGCAGCTGAGGATTTGCAGACCCTCTTTGCTGGCCACTCCTTAATCTAGCCAGAACAAAGAAGGAAGGATCACAGTTTCATTTTCTTTCTCTTTTTATTTTCCCTGCCTTGCATTCTCCCTCCTTTCCTCCCTCTCACCTCCCTTTCCCCTCCCCCTCCCTAATCCCAAAATTGATCCCTTACTTGACTGTCAAGGTCACATCCCCAAAGTTTTGATAATGGGATAACAATCATCAGAGTGTTGACATGCTGCTAGTTCTTCCATGTATCTTACTCCCTTCCTAAAGGTCACTGAGTACCATGAAGAAGTTCAAGTGTTTTTTTTAATGTTCAAGTGAACATGAAGTGTCTCTCTAGGAGTGAGTGTACTAACACAAAATGTGCATGCATCAAACAAACATCCAAGACTTCCAGACAGTGAAATAATGGCATTCAAATTTCTCTCAGCATACATAGTATAATTAAAATCTAATGAAATCAGAAGTACAGTACCTCTGGAGGATACAGTGTGTCTAATTTTCTTGGAACACCAACTGGACAGAACCAGCCAAATGTAGAAATTCCCTATTATTGTCCATATTACACAGGTTTCACTGTAGAAATTCCTAAATTGCACTGACCAGTGGATATATGCTAATTTTGAAACAGAACAATGTATTCATCCCATTTCCAATTTCCAATGACAGTCCATTCCATTTCAGTCACCATTTACAATTTCCTACAGGTCTGATCAGAAAGCAGAAGTGAAAATCTTGGCCACTTGTAGTTTTAGTGCAAGGGGAGGGAAGCATAAAGGAATGGCAAGGAAAACAAATGCATGTGCAAAGGCTATTGGCTGGTAGACAACTCAGCACTAATAGATGCAATAAATAATGGTTATACCTTATGTTGTTTCTTCCAGGGAAACAATGAAGTAAAACTTTATGTAGATATGGAAAACATTTCATACAAATGAAAACTAGTCTAAGTTTGTTCAAGGACAAGCTATCATATCATAAAGTTTGATACCTGAGATAGAAACTCAAAGCCATGAGGGAAAAGGATGCAAGCTGAAAAGTAATCTAATATGGGCTTGAAAACTAATACATTACAAAGATTAAAAAAGACAATGCCAAGTGAGTAAATGGAATATATGAAATTTGTTAATGACTGAATACATTAATGTATGCCTCCATGACTGCCTCAACGAAAATTTACAATAAAGGTTATGGCTATGATGGAACATCGAAAAACTGCAACTGCCACAGCTTCGAGTTAACTCAAGAAATGATATGAAACTGGCATGGAATGGCAAAGACCTTCTTGCGAGACTTCTTGAGCATTGGTGTTGGCTTCAGCTCTTCAGGAGGGAAGGAGACCTTGCTGGGATCAAAGTCATATCCTGGCAAGCATGCACCTGCAGATAATAAATGGAGGACTTTTGAATAGAAAGACTGACAAAGAGAGCCAATGGTCTAGAACAGTGGTTCCTAATATTTTTTTATTTGCAGCACACATAAGGACACTTGAACTTTCCACAGCACACCCAGCCATTTACTTACTTTCATGGGAAACTTGTGCTTGCAATGCTGAACACAGCAGTTTGATACGAGGTGTGATAGTGCAACTCTCAGCTTGTTTTCCACTGAGAGATGGTGTTCCCTCTTGTTTTTAAGTTTTTTTAGTTTTTTTTGTCAACTCTGAAATCTCATGGCACACTTAAGCCTTACTGGCAGCACACTGTTTGGGAAACACTGGTCTAGAAGATCATATTTAACTACATGTCTGCATTTGAAGAACTACAAGTTTCAAGAATCATTTGAATGAGACTCTTTAAAAAGAGAGAAATGGTACAGTTATATAATGATGATATGAAAAACTAGAAAAATGTCAGATTGCCATACCAGCTAGTCTCTCTAATGATTAGCTCAAAAAGACTCATGCCAAAGCTACTTGAACTAAAAAAAAAAGAAATAAGTTATAGGTCAAGCAGACAAAAAATTACATTCAGCATGAACAGAGATGATGATGTCAAAACTGTCCCCAGTGAGCTGCAATCCAAGCCTGTATACAAGGTCGAAACCAAGTCCTCGTTATTGTAAAATGAAATACTCAGTTCCCCCACCGATGCATGGTATTTCAAGGAAATTTCTTGTTTCTTTTGCAGTACAAAACCTTTAAATTGTTTCCTGGCTCTGAAATATCCTCTCTCTCTCTCTACAGTAATACCACACTTGGCACTAACCCATATACACTGTTGTTATAGTGCTCTTGATCTTGGAGAGAAAAATTTTTACTGAAAACCAATAAAAATTGAAAAATACAAAATAAAAGTCAAAAGTTATGAATCACAATATTCACAGCTTGATTTGCAAAGGATGCTGGCCATGCCCAAGACTGCTGTACGTTGGAGGATATCCAGTGATATTTCACACTCCAGCTTCCTGACATGTCCCTTGAGGTCTTTCAGGATGACACCAGTTGTGCCTATGATGATCGGAACGATGGTGGTCTTCATTCCGCACAACTGTTCCACTTCCACTCTCAGTTCGGAATATTTCTCCAGCTTCTCCCTGGTCTTCTCTTGGAGGTTGTTACTGGCTGGGATGCTCACATCTACGAGGAGGGTGGTCTTCTTCTCCTTCTTATAGATTGTAAGGTCCGGCCTATTGCAGCCTATACTGCGGTCTGTAATTATAGGCATGTCCCATAGTATCTTGGTGGAGCCGTTCCCCACAACAGACTCTGGCTGGTGTTCATACCACTTCTCTGGGATTTCCAGGCCAGCATGCTTAGAGACACACCAATGCACATATTTGCACACTTGGTCGTGTCTGTACAAGTACTCCCTCGGGGCTAGTTCGGGGCAGGCACTGAGGAGGTGGTGATGCGTTTCGGGTAGTCCATGACAGCACCTGCAGCGGTCTTCCACATCCAGCTTCAGGATGTGCTTCTCGTAGTTACGAGTTCTAATGCACTGGTCCTGAATGGCTAAGATGTTGCTCTCTGTCTCAGCATTCAACAGTCCCTTCTTCAGCTAGTTATAGCTGACGTCCGNAGAAGTTGCTCTCTGTCTCAGCATGCAACAGTCCCTTCTTCAGCTAGTTATAGCTGACGTCCGAGCTGATCGATGGTTTATCCATGATCTTGGGATGCTGGCCGTGAAGCGGTTTCTCCTTCGATCATGCTTCTCTTTGACCTTGGTCTGCCATCTTCACATCCGCCGTGTCACAGTCGTCATGGAGATGGAGTGTGTTTCGGAAGCAGGTGGCATCTCCCTGGATGGAGTGGGACTTCTTCAGGGCATCTCACTCTCTCAGGATGGAAATGAGTCTTCCCTGCTTCCTTTCGATATATCTGGCGACTTCGCACGTCGTACACTTATAGAGGGACTCGAATTCAATCAGTCCCCTCCCTCCTTTGCATCTCAGAAGGTAGAGTCTTTCAACGGCAGCCTTCGGATGATGGGTGTGATGCATGGTCAGGAGTTTTCTAGTCGCTCGATCGATGGCTTGGAGTTCTGTAGGTGACCAATCGAAAACTCCGAAGCTGTAGTTGAGGACAGATGTGGCAAGGTTGTTGAGGGCAGAGATCTTGTTTTTGCTGGACAGCTCGGTCTTTAGCATGAGACAGACTCTGCGTTGTATTCTGTCGTCAGTCTTTGCTTCGTGTGCTTGACAGCCACAGAAGAGTTCTCTTTCACACTGAGGTACTTATAGGTGCCAGGGGTCATAAGTTCTCAGAGTTGTTCGTTGTTGGTGGTGGTGATATCTCCCATAGGAGTGAGGGCTCCGCAGTGGATAGAGAGCTTCGCACACTTGTCGAATCCAAACTTCATGCAGATGTCTTTCAAGAAGATGCTGATGACATTGAGAAGGCTTTCGAGCTGTTTCTCGTTGGAGGCGTAGAGTTTCAGGTCGTCCATGTAGAGAAGGTGGTTCATGCAATGGTCTGCATTCTTCCCCTTTCCTATGTGATAACCACAGTCAGTCTGAGCTAGCTCAGTACTGAGAGGGTTNCAGTCCGAGCTAGCTCAGTACTGAGAGGGTTGAGAGCCAGACAGAAGAGTAGAGGAGATAGCGTGTCGCCCTGGAAGATCCCGCGTTTGATGGAAATCTCGCATGTTGTCAGAGTGGAGTCCTGTCCTTTGAGGGACATGACCGTCTTCCAGCGAGGCATGGTCCATTCGAGGAAGTTCACCACCACAGGGTTGATGTTGTACATCCTGAGGCACTCTATGATCCATGAATGGGGCACCAAGTCATATGCCTTCTGGTAGTCAATCCATGCCATCGAGAGATTCTTCTTCCTGGTTCTGGCATCGTCCATGACCATACGGTTGAGTAAGAGCTGTTCCTTGCAGCCGTATGATCCTTTCCGACAACCCTTTTGCTCTTCCGACATGATGTTGTTGTCATAGATGTGTCGTTCGATTCGTGCTGCTAGGATGGAAGACAGCACTTTGTAGACGGTTGGCAGGCAGGTGATAGGCCTGTAATTCTTAGGTAGTTGGGTCTCGGCGTTTTTCGGCAGCAGGTAGGTGACTCCTGCGGTTAGCCAATCCGGCATCTCCAAGGGGTCCGTCACTACTTTCTGCATTTCTCTCTCTCTCCATATATATATATGAAGACCACGGAATTAAGACCACCATCGTTCCGATCATCATCGGTACAACTGGCGTCGTCCTGAAAGACCTCAAGGGACATGTCAGGAAGCTGGAGTGTGAAATCTCACTCGACATCCTCCAGCGTACAGCAATCTTGGGCACGGCCAATATCCTCCGCCGTGTCCTTCAGAATTAGGCGAGTATGAGGTTTAGGATGTGGCTCATCCCCCCTCATACCTACAATACCGGCAGTCGCCGCGGAAGGATTTAATTAAATTACATACACATATATATGCTTATATATAAGATATATAACCATCTACTTACTAGTTACAACAAAGGCTCCCTTTCTCCCCCCACGATGGCTTCCAACCTTTTCCTAACCCTTTCCACTCTGGCGCCCTACCCGGGAGGAGGTGGCCTACCAGCTCTGGTCGTTTTGGCGGTAAATTGCAAGCGTTGCCCATGCTACATCAAAACACAAACGCACAAAAGGTATAAAAACAAACATTATTAACTAACTTAATTACTAACAACTATAAATTTATAAATATCAATAAATTATATCAGAGGATTCAGGAAAACCACAATATTGGACCAACTCCGACAACGGAATGGAAAGGGTAAAACGTAAGCGTAGCAGATTTTTCCAACTTGATGGTTGCAGCAGAAATAACAGAAACCAGTTTAAGTTGTGCCAACCCCAAGTTATATTCAGGTTGCGAAATGACTGCTTTACCTATAAGGTAGTAAATGAGTGGGGTGCATTAAGTGCTGATCAAGCGTCTAGTTAGCACTGAAATACCATTAAAAATTACATTTTTTTCCACGTAGAAACACCATTTAATTTGTCACACTCGGGTCCAGGTCCCATATTATAAATAACCCTACATTTTACTTTTGCACTTATATTGCACACAGCTATTTCTGGTTTTCCTTTTTTTTTGGTAGATTCTAGTGTTCATCGTCAATGAAATAATAGTCAATGTAAAACATCAGCCCGGCGAAAGTTAGTTTCAACTTACATCTGATCAACGACTCTATTTAATCTGTAAGTCAGACCACCTTTCTGACCACTATTTTCGGCTTCTTAGAGATGCAAACCTCCATGGAACGCAGGCAGAACCGTGTTGAATACCTACCGTTCGCCCTCGTAGCCTTCCTTCCCAATAGTATCCGGAAACGCATATCCCATATCCCATATTTTACTCAAATCTGCTTCCCCAGTCATAAAATCCTTCTATACGCCTATCGCTGCAATTCGACCGCTTCATATCTTACGTGATCGTGCAAGGACCCGAGTCCCAAAATTTATTTTAGACTTGAACACCACGAGTACTTGAGAGTACTTTCTCCCCGATCTGCAATCCAGAAATTGGGGTAGCTACCCTGGCTGCTTTAGCTTCACATTATAAGAAATGGCCATCATCCCTAGCCATCGGATGCGCGCATGGCTAGGTTCCCAGGTGTCAATAAACACCACCCTTCCACGGTATTGACCATCGTCAACCTAGTTTTACTCATGACGTGGACTACGTCATACCTCCTTCATCCAATCGGCTTGGAATGGCGCACGTCACCCTACTTCTACCCTTGCGTCACGACATGCCCTAAGCATCTGCCTAAGCCTGGGAATGATGAACTCGGAGCCAGATGTTGGTTTCAACATATACCACCACTTCGGCAGGCACCGAGGACATTATCATTCCTCATTACCCTATCCCTGTTCCGAAGAACGGAGCGAAAGTACCCGACTCCTGTACGCAAGGGTCCTTCCCTACAGCTGCCTCAAGGCGCTCGACGTTGAGTCATCTACGAGCAGCGCAGATAGCGATTTTCCTCATTCCCTCTCGGCCTGACTTCGCTCGTCCTCTCGATCCCCCATCTATCTTGGTTTCACCCTCCGATCGCTTATCTGGCATAACTTCAATCCCTGAAACCTATTTTCGATCCTGACGGGTTCGCCACTTTCACCACCTGCGCCCAGTTCCGGGATACGCGGGACCAAAGGCCAGCGTTGGTCTCGCTGTCAAGAGTTCAACAAAAAAAATGCGTGCAATGTAGATATAAATGACTAGACTTTAGGGCAGCGGTTCCCAGACAGTGGGTTGCGACCCACCGGAAGGTTCAATGCGAGTAAAAGGAGGTTTAGAAACCACTGCTTTAAGGGGATATGCTTCCACAAAAGCATCTATCTTTAAGAGGGGTAGATCTGTCTTGTGATATGGATGTGGAACGCTCTACCTTAACACAGAATGTCTCAATGGGCAGAAATGCCTCTCGACTTTCCTACTCGAACCTTGAAGTAGCTCCATCTGACTGGGTTCCATCACACAGCGACAATGTCCCCGTCTCGTTCTTAATGCCTAGGGAAGCCTCGCAGTGTTCCACCCTAACTAGCCTCACAGCTACGTCCTCCATCTTCCCACGGTCATACAATCCCTCTCATCTCCTCCACTGCAGCAAAAGCATGTACCGAGACTACCAAAACTGATCAAGTGGTCCGCATCAGATTCCAACTAATGCAGGCTTTCGAGCTCGCGCCTTACCTCGATGCCCACGCTGGAAGACGTCAGTGAACGTCACATTTCATCATCATCGGGCTATGATACCTCATAATGGAAATATTTATATAAATTATTTTTTTCTGACTGCTCTCTTCTATGCCGACCTGGCTGACTGTTAGCGTTTCCATGTGTTCTAAGAGAAGTCAGAGCGCATTGACGTAAAAACTTCAGAAGTTTATAGCAATAGTCACTTTTCGACGTTACCGGAATTATGATTGTATGGGGGCGGCAGAAGTGCAAGAACTGAACAGCAAGACCACAAAGTCTTGCATGCGGGGGTCTTTCGAGATGGCCCTCGCACCAGGGATGAAATCTTCACACTTGTGAAATAAGTCGTTCAAAATCTTGCCACCTAAATGTATCCTTTTATCCTCATACTCTTATCTTTCTCTCCGAGCAAGCAACAACCCGAACATGCATTTCCAACGGTTCTCTCTCCCATTATTTACTACTCTTTTCCTTTACTATGCCAAGCTTCGTTAGGAGCCAGAAAATTAAGGAGATAACCACACAAGATGTCCGCGAGCAGCGCACTGAGATGAGGGGGGGGGGGGGGGGCGGGGGGAGAATTGGCCTCTTCCTAAGATAGGGGGGGGGGGGGGGGGGGGGGGGGGGGGGGGGGGGGGGGAGCTGGGGGAGAATTGGCCTCTTCCTAATCCTCTTTTATTGTACTTGTGTACGTGTGTACGTAGGTGTGTTGGTACTAGCCATAGAGTGTATATAGATGTCTCTGGAGAGGCCTTCGCTGCCTCGAGACTTACAAGTGTTTCCGTCATCTTGGTGAAGTCTCGCACGTGGGAATGAATAGCGTGATTGGTTGGGTCCCGGCGTGGAGGCCCCCAGGCATATAGCTCGGGGAAGGTTGCCTCTTTTGCCCTCCCCCTCTCCATGTCTGCTATGAACTCCTTGCTCGTGCGACTTCAGTAAGATGGCGGCCGCGCCTGGAAGGGTGCTGCGCCTCGCGTCATAGGGAAGGCCCCTCCATTATACACTCTATGGTACTAGCGCAGTTGATGGGTTTACGGCAATCGAGAACGTGTGCATCCTAATGATAAAAGATATTCATGTCTGATAGGAAGAAAGTTTTGGGAAGCATGATGGTATCACTGCCCAAGTTCTATCATCTGTGACGCCATGCGCAAATCTGGTCTTTTGCAAATGAATTCGTACCACCTTTAACACTGCGCATGGTAATTCAATGGAGCATCCAATGCGGTGGGAGAGGAGGTCCAACTATTGTTTCCATTCCGGAAGATAGATGTCTGCCTCCCTCTTCATAACGCCACCTCGTATCAATCGGTCAGTCTCTTGGGAGCTGCCTTACAGTAAAGATGACGTCGAGCGCTGCCCGTATGAAAGGATAGACGAGTCGTAGGCACCGGATCGTTGCCAAGCACTAGGTTGGGCAGTAGTGCACTCTGATGTCTCGAGCCCTGGATGTCAAATACTCGAC